CGTGGGAGACCTGGAAGGAGTCCCTGGCTCTTGGCTTCAGATTGGCACAGCTCTGGCCATTGCAGCCAACTGGGGAGTGGACCAGCGGATGGAAGGCTTTTCTCTCTGTCTTTCCCTCTCACTGTCTGCAACTCTACCTCTCAAATAAATAAAATAAAATATAAAAAAATTTAAAAACAAACTGCAGTTTTGCTTTCCGGACATGGAAGATGGAAATCAGTATTCTATTTTACTCTATCTCAAACTGAAAAGTAGATCTCCAGCGAGGCCATCAGGGATCTGGGCTGTAGAAGTAGCTGTCCAGGAGCATTGAGGCAGGCATGGGTGGCAGTGTTGCAGGCCCAGGGCCAGCTCGGTTCTTGTGGACTCACTCAAGCTGGCCAGGAATCCCTAGGCTGCAGCGGCACCTGTCGCGGCCAGGTCGAGGGAAGGGAGTGGCCCGCACTCTGCCCAGCCTCTGCCCTTCTGCACTCTCTTCTCCATGCTGTCCCATTTTGCACATTTTCAATCCTACAGGAAAGGTAAAAAGGATTAGAAAATTAATCTCTGTGCATGAACAGGTGATTTTAATTTTTTATCTTTACTCTTACCTGTACTGACTGACCTTTTCATAATAGCTGTGAATTCTGTATGGATTGCGGTCCTAATCCCCAAGCTCCTAACATGAAATGATCTAAGATGTGTAACTATGTGACTGCCATGAGGATAACATAAGTGGAAAATTCCATACCTGACCTCATATGGATAAAAAGATGGAATAAAACCACCTTCAGGCTACATAAGCGAGGTAGAGATGAAACAGAAATCATTTTCACATTTAGACTCGCATGCTCCTCCCTCTAGATATCTCATTACGTGAATGACAATATTCCAAACTACTATAAAATACAAACTCTAAAACACTTCTGGTCCCAAGGATTTCAGATAAGGAATACTTGACCTATAGTTAGAACAAAACAATGAAGCTTTGTGGAAAGGTTTTTAAAAATATCCAACGAAAAATGCTTTAAAAGGAAAAGCAAGCGGGAAAACCAGCTCTGTTGGCTCTCGGTCTAAAGTTCACCTTCTTTTCTTTGGTACCAAGGTCCTCCGCATGTTCTTCCTTAATGCTTACGGCTGGACTTTGTTGCTCTCCTGATACCATGATCTATTCATAGGCCTATAAAACGGTCCACAGGGGTCAGCGCTATGGCGCAGCAGGTAAAGCTGTCACCTGCATCGCCAGCATCCCATATGAACACCTGTTCCAGTCCCAATGGCTCCACTTCCTATCCTCTCTGCTAACAAGCTTAAGGATGGCTCAAGTCCTCGGACCCCTGCCACCATGTGGAAGACCTGGAAGAAGCTCCTGGCTCCTGGCTTTAGCCTGGCCCAACCCCTGACAGCCATCTGGGGAGTGAACCAGCAGATGGGAGATCTCTCTCTCGGTCTCTCCCTCTCTCTCTGTAACTTTGACTTTCAAATAAATAAATAAATCTTAAAAAAAAAACAAAACAGTCTATGAGCTTCTCATGGGAGTAACTTTCTCCAGTGCCAGGCTCTTGCCCAGAGACTAGCAGGTGCTCAGTAAACAACTGTTGAGTGCTTGATTGCGGTGAGCACTGAGACCAGATGGATAGGTTGCAGGCAGATGATAGCAGTTTTTAGGCCAGGTTAAGAAGGAAGCCAAAGCCTTGGAACACCTTTGTCCTGGGGGCTAGAGGACCCCTCTTGTTACTCTCAATTCCTTTTTAACCCTGACAACAGCAGGTATAGTAACAGTAGTCTGGCCAGTTTGGAGTGTGGTATCTGTGAAGTAGAGCAGAAATGGCAGTGCCGGCAGGACTCAGCCTGCCATCCTCACAAGGTGTGCTGGGCCCACAACACTGGGGCTGGCCTGGCTCAACTGGGGGCAGTGATGGGTCGGGGGATTGGAGCTTCTGACTAAGCCAGGCTTCAGCAAAATCCCTCCCACCCTTCACCTGCAGCTCTATAGGCCATGATCCTCTGCCCCTCACCTGAGTGTATTCAACATGTTCTTTGAGCTAAAAGGTAAACTTGACTTTGGACAGGCAAATATTTATCCTGAACTAGGCTCCAATTGTTTGTGTTTTCCCAATGGTCATATACTCATGTTTTGGCTTGAAAATAAGAATCAACATCCTTCCCAAACTGTGGTTATTATTAAGAGATTTGGGAGAAATCAGGATTTCATACTCCTGTGCTGCTGATTTTTTTTTTTTTACATAAAGTACATATGATTTCCCCAGTAAAAACTAATTGGCAATTGATATCATACGTTGCTTACACACAAGCCTATGAGGCAGACAGCTTCCTGGCCAATTGGATACTTCAACTCTCTTAACTTTTGTTTTCCTATTTATTCATCCTCAAGTAGGGCAGAGTAGTGCATATCTTATATGGATTTTGTGAGGTTTTCTCCCTCCGTTGGATGGTGTCTGATTTAGTAGCTGTCAGTTAAAAACCCTTTTTGGGGTTCTACTTGAAGCTCTGGCCTATGGCCTGTTATGCAACAGCTCTCAAATCTAAGGAGCAAATCAGCATGAACACCTTAGGGGTGCTCACACAGTAACTCCAGGCCAGCATGGTCTGGGGTCCTCTTCTCCTTGGGACCCCTCACAGCACTTACATTTTCCACAAACGCTGCCCTCAACCAACATTTGCTGACTTTATTCGTAGACTTAACATAAAAGGCTGAGGATTTCCAGCCCCAAAGCAGACCTAACCAGGAGGTACTTCCCAGCAGGGAACAATCCACAAACCCCTTAAATTATGCCATTTAACAATGGTTGCCTCTGGGTTGCAGGATTTCTGGTGGTTCCAATTTCTGACATGCATATATGACTTTCACAAACACAAAAAAAGTCAGTTAAAAAAAATAACACCACACAATCTGGTACTGGTTCCCATTTACCTACTTTCTCTTACCTTGGCACCTGCTTCTCTTCTTACTTAGTCTCTAAGGCACCAGGCCTTCTTATGAATACCTCCTCCGAAACTGCCCACAGTGGTTGTCTAGTGGAAAGGGTGAGGTTTTTTGAATCACTTGGATTGATGCTTGGAATTCAGCAAAGTGTGAACTTGGCAATACCTTCCACTTCCCTTTGCATTCTAGCCAGCATTTACTATTTTGAATAAGTGTTCATTGTAAAAATATTTTTAGGAAAGCCATATAGGAAAAAAATCCTATAGTTAGTTGCACTTCTGGGAGCTAACACTATTAACTTGTCATGTTTGCAGATTTACAGCTTGCCCTCCTAGGCAAATATTTTTCCTATCATTTAAAAAAGTTTTATTCTCATTTTCTTCATCACTGTTCAAAACAGTCACAAACAGAAATCCAAGAAAAATACAACAGTTTCCCATACAGAGAAAGCTGATAGACTGTTCTCTGTCTTCACTGTTTTTTTTTAATGCTTTTAAAGTTGTTTTTCTAAGTAAATAGGTCAAAATTCATCTTTAATAAGTGTTTAGTATTTCTTCTCTGTACTCTAGGAAACATGGCTGTAGAAGCTAAAAACAGCTATTTTTTCCTATGCTACAAAGGCACTTTCCTAGTACAATTCAACACGAACATTTCAGGCCTAAATAGTTTTCAATGAGCCTTAAAGAGGGTCTTAAGGTGTAACAATTATTCTTATAGTTCAGAGTTACAGAAGGAGCTGGTAGAAAACCCAGGTAAACAGCATTAACCACTGCTGTTGGGTGCAGGGTCAGGCTGTCTGCATTACCTCATTTTGCTAGGTCTGTAGAGAATAGTCTACCTTCTTTTAGTTCAGACATGGCTTCGGCGGTAGGGATTATTAAAAGCCTAAAATGATACAGCAATCTAGAGGTTTTGGTTGTGCTCCTTGGGGAAGCCCCGTGTAACCCCTTCAACTAAAAACCTTGGTGATTTCCAAAATCTCTATCTTCCCCATCCCCACGGTCCACTGCCTATTCTGTCTAGCATCAAAACCCAGGCGTCACTCACTCTACGTATATTTAGCGTAAGTTTTCTTAGAGAGTCTGCCCGTATTGTTGCGCTCCTCTAGCCAGGGGGTTTAACTTTCTTGGCTGGGCCCACCCAGAAGCGATCCAAACTCTTTCTAAAACGCTGAGCCCTTCCAAGTGCGTAAGGCGCCAGGGCTGGTGGAATCAGGCCAGAGTTTGAATCCCAGCTTCCTAGCTTTTGTTTTCTTTGTCCGTAAAAGAAGTGAGGCAACTCCCAGAGTTAACTCTTGCATGCACTCTTTCTGGCTTCTAGCTGACCTGCTCAGGTATCCCGGTACCCTTCTGAGGTGGTCACCGGGAGGGGACGAACCATGCACCTGGAGGGCTCGGGCACTAAGACGCCCTAAGCAGCTACTGTTTTTGTCAGCTACTGCTTTGTCATTCTCCAAAGAGGGCTATCGAGACCACAGTGAGGCCAAGGGGAGGAACTTCGTGGTATGAAATTTCACAGAAAGAAACTTTTCCCCGCAGAGATACCAAAGGCAAGAAGGGGCCCCTTCCCCTCTGCCGAGGCGCCCTGCGTGGTCTTCATGGGGCGCGTTTTTTTTCTTGCCCAGCGTGTCCCCGGGGCTGTGCTGATAAATCCAAGTTCCAGTTCTGATAGTCACCTTTCAACCAAAAATATTTCAACCCAAATATATTTCTGGGCTTTTTCTTTCCAAGGAAAACTTCAGGCTCCAAGCCCTTGGCTGGCTGAGCCATTCTGCCAGCTGAGCGTCTGTCTCTGAGGCCCATTCCCACAGAGAGGGAGCTGGAGGAAGGGAAGTCCAGCCTGGAGGCCGACGACGGGGATGGGGGGGCGGTGGGGGGGGTGGCGCATCCACATTCAGGCACACACCCCAGATCTGTCCGAAGGCCGAACTACGGACAGCGAACCCGCTGGGCCCGGCCCACGCCTTGCGAAGCATCACGAGACTTTACAAGAAACTGAAACTGGAAGCAGAAAAGTCCCTCTCTCTAACCTAGTCCTGCCTCCCGCGCCCGGAGACTGCTGACGGCCCCGCGGGCGCCGTCCTGATTGGACGCGGACATGGGGCATATAAGAGGGCTCAGGGGCGGCCCCGGGCACTCGACGTGTGGTCGGCGTTCCGTTCGCGATGTCGCGCTCCGTCTTGGGCTTGGCGCTGCTCGCGCTAGTCTTGTTCCCCTGCCTGGAGTGCGTCCAGCGTGAGTGTCCCTTCATTCTTTCCTCTCTGATCTTTCTTCGCTCTCCCTACGCTCCTGGCAGTCCCTGCGGTTAGCTCTGAGAGCCTCTGCCCCAAGGTCTCCTTCCCGGCTGTGGGGCTGGGTCTGCAGGGCAGTGGTGCGGCGGCCGCTCGAGCCCGGGACTCGTTCCCTGGCTCCTCTCCGCAGTGGGCTGGGCAGGGCTGTGGAGACAGAGTGTCGGGGTGGGGTGGGGGTAGTTGGTCAGCTCCAGAGGGGCCCCCGTGCGGGGCCGGGGGTGGGAGTGGGTTTCTCTTCCGCGGCGCCGCTGGCTCCTGAAGCCGAGCGCAGCTGGAGGCAGGCGCGGAGCCGAGGCTGAGCATGCGAGGAAACAGGTGTGCGTGGCCGGGGTGGAGGGGCCGTCCACCTGGCTTGCTTGCCATTCTGGCACCTCCAGACACAGGAAACCAAACCGTGGCGAGAAAAGGCCCCTGCGGCGTTCTTGGAACGGGTTGCACGTTCCCATCAGCAACTAGCTTGCGCGCGTTACACTTCGCTTTTCCTAGCAGTCCCGGGAGCTCCCGGTCCTGGACAGCTTGCTGTGCGCCGCGGATGTTAGGAACTTTATGTCGTTTACTTTTGAAAATGCGCCTCGGACGACGTCCTGTAAGCATAGTGAGCGTCCGCCTCTGACAGATGGGCAGACTGAGGCCCCGAGACGGCCAGTCACTTAACCAACCGAGGCAGACAGCCGGGACTGAACCTGAGCCTGACCAGGGCCTTTGGCGGGAGCTGCAAGCTTTTGTTCGGAAACTGGCCTCGTCGCCCCGGGGCGGGGCGTGAGTCGTCGGAGGGCGCTGGGGGGCCCCACCCCGCTGTTGTCCAAGGCTGTTGGCCTGGTACTTTCCAAGATGGACGGAGTCTCCACTTTCGGTTTTGAGAAAGTGAAGGTTGCTTTGTCAGGCAGAGAGGTTGTAAACCCAGTGATGAGAGTCATCCAAGATGTTTATCAAGACTCTTGGGGTGCCCAGGCCTTGAGCATGTTCTAAATACCGAACAAAATAACGGACCCTCTTTTCCCACAAAACTCCTTCGAAGCCGAGGGTTCTGGTCGTGGAAATACAGTGTTTAATTTGAATATTATTTATTTTCAGAATAAATATTGTATACATCCTCACTGATATTGATATTTGCTGGTGATAATAGATGTAATTTTTTTTTCAAATGACAATCTGACATTTGAAAATATCTTATTTTGGGCCGGCGCTGGCACACCGGGTTCTAGTCCCGGTCAGGGCGCCGGATTCTGTCCCGGTTGCCCCTCTTCCAGGCCAGCTCTCTGCTGTGGCCAGGGAGCGCAGTGGAGGATGGCCCGAGTACTTGGGCCCTGCACCCCATGGAAGACCAGGAGAAGCACCTGGCTCCTGCCATCGGATCAGCGTGATGCACCAGCTGCGGCGGCCATTGTGGGGGGTGAAGCAAAGGCAAAAAGGAAGACCTTTCTCTCTCTCTCTCACTATCCACTCTGCCTGTCAAAAAAAAAAAAAATCTTATTTTGAAAATTTCCAAAGTAGTGCATGCCATGCATGTATCATTTCTGGAAGATACACAGAAATGTACAGTGGCGATTGCCCGTGGGGGCCTGTTTTCCCTCTGTCCTGCCAGTGGGTTTCCTGTTTCACTGTGTGCATACTTTTTCATTTAAGCCTCAGAAGCTTAAATACCTCTCCCAGAGTCACAGAGCCAGTAAGTGGCTGAGTCTAGGGTGTGTGAAGTATGAAGTTTGAAAAGTCGGTTGGGACCAGCTCAAACAGACTCTTCTGTGATGTGTTAAGGCAGGGATAGGGAACCATTTTCTCCCAAGGGGCACACAAAATTATCAGCTTAAAAATTAATCTGCTACAAATTTATTGAATTTTGAGTTCCACCTACAGCTGCCTTGACAGGGCCACACCCAATGATTTTGTGGGCTGCAGGCCAGATGTTTTCTACCTGTGCTCAGGAATTCTGTGGGTGCTAAGAAGCCATCAAAGGTTTTTGAAGGCCTTCAGAGCAAGGTTCTTAAATACTCAGCACAGTCTCTAAGCAAAGAAAAAGATACTGCTGGAAATCTCCTCAAAAACAAAACAAAACAAAAGGGAATATGAATATACATGGCCCAGATACTAAGTCTTGGTTTACCCCTAAAAATGGAGGCAGCCTTTTGGGAAAGTGGAAGCATATTTGGCCAGAGTAGAAATGCCATTGTGACAAACAGGTGAGCAAATTTAAACTCTCGGTGCCTGACTGAGCTTGAGACCAGGTTATTCCCAAATGCACATTTCTGGCGATTTTCACTTGTCTTTCCTCAATATTCCTCAGGTGCTCCGAATGTTCAAGTGTACTCTCGTCATCCAGCAGAAAATGGAAAACCTAATTTCCTAAACTGCTATGTATCTGGGTTTCATCCGCCCCAGATTGATATTGAGTTGTTGAAAAATGGAGTGAAGATAGAAAACGTGGAACAGTCAGACCTGTCTTTCAACAAGGACTGGTCTTTCTATCTCCTGGTCCACACTGAATTCACGCCCAATGATAAGGATGAGTATTCCTGCCGGGTGAAACATGTCACTCTCAAGGAGCCTATGACAGTGAAATGGGGTAAGTCTTCAAGTTCTCTCCTTAACTGCTCAAAGCTGTATCTGAGGAGAGCCATAGCATAAAGCTGCTTTGATTCAAACAAGCAAAACACTGCAATCTGGGATCATCAGGCAATGTTCCTAAAGCACTGGTTAGTGGCACCTGCTGAGATGCCGTCTGCCCAGCATATGGCTGAACCTGTGGTCTGCCTGTAGTGGGAGCAGGGAGCGGCACTGGCGCAGGATGCATGCTCTGCCGTTGCTTCTTGTCTACTGCCTTCCCCTGACTTTCCCGGTAAACCTCACAGGTACTTGGCATCACCAAGTATCTTAGGGAGGCCGCTGTCTGTAAACCCTGCTTTCCTGGCACCCTACAATCTGGGATCCAGTACTCTCTCTGGCTGGGTTTGCATACGGGGCTAGTAGGCAGAGTTGGTCCTATTGGGGCATTTCTAAACAATGTATTTACCTTAGGAACAGCAGGCTGTTCTGACAGCCTCATTTCCGATAGACTTTTTTTTTTTTTTTAACTATTAGACATTTTCTCCTTTTACATTTGTTTCTTAAAATGTTTAGTTTTTAACAGATTCAGTCTGGTTTGCAGATACAAGTCTAAGAATATAATGATATCCTCTTCCTTCTTCCCTTAGACTTTTTTTTAGTAGTAGATATTTTCTAATAGATTTCTAAAAAAGTATATGGTGTTTAAAAGTAAAAACTTAATGTTTTCCTTTTTTCTTTCTCCATTTTCTTTTTCATAGATCGAGATTACTAATCAACAGCATGGAGGTGGGTTTCTGAACTTAAGAAGATGTTTGTTTTACTGTCCTTGGAACTATTTTTCGATAACATTAACATGATAATCCTCACTCTATGGAGGCTGACAATCAGAGTAGCATTTCCGTGGGTGAAGAAGAATCCTAGCAGATCACGTACCCTTCTCTTTTGAAGTGGCATGAGAGAGATGTGTGGCTGCAGGTGTGACTCTGTCAGTGCCACTGATTCTCTAAAGGGAAAGGCAGAGGAGCTGCCAGTGTGGTATGCTGGGATAGAGGCACCGGTTACCAGTATCACCTGCAAGGGTTTGACCTTTTCTGATATTTCCACATTGGGCTTCTTTTCTAAGGGTCCTCAAATAGGAACCACTCTCTAGGGCAAGTGTTTGGCTTAGCGGTTAAGACAATTAAGACGCCCTTATACCAGGCTCCAGTTTCCTGATTCCAGGCAGTGGTGATGGCTCAAGCAGTTGGGTCCCTACCACCCACATGGGAGACCTGGATTGTTCCCAGCTTCTGGCCCCAGCCCTGCCTTGGCTGTCGCAAGCCTTCTGAGAACGAATCAGTGGATGGGAGCTATGTCTGTCTCTCTGCCTCTTGAGTAAATAAATAAATAATTTTTTAAAAGATTCATTTTATTTACTGGAAAGGCAGTTATGGGGGGGTGGGGAGAGATCTTCCATCAGCTGGTTCACTCCCCAAGTGGCCACAAAGGCTAGGGCTGGGCCAAACTGAAGCCAGGATCCATGAGCTTCTTCTGGGTCTCCTACATGGGTGTGGGGGCCCAAGCACTTGGGCCATCTTCTGCTGCTTTCCCAGGTGCATTACCAGGGAGCTGGATTGGAAGTGGAGCAGCTGGGATTCCAACCGGTGCCCATATGGGATGCTGGCATCAAAGGCAGTGGCTTTATTGGCCCCCAGTGTATCATTTTAAAAATTAACCACTCATTCTTTGCATAGCCAGCCAGAGAGAGGAATGATATAGTTTTGAGTTTTGTAGACCTCATTCCTTCAAACTGTTGTTTGTGAGCCCTTTGTATGTGGGCTCTGTGTTTGCCTTGTAGAGGCTGCCAGTCCATTAGTGGAGAGAAATGGGAACAATGTTATAACTAAAGATGCTCTAATAGATGTATCTCTACACAGAGTCTAGAGTAATGAAAGAGGATGAACTTGGACTTCTCTGTATCTTTTTAAAAAGATTGATTTTATGTATTTGAAAGATGGAGTTAGAGAGAAAGATCTTCCACCCACTGGTTTACTCCCCAAATGGCTGCAATGGGGTGGGCCAGGCTGAAGCCAGGAGCTTCTTCTGGGTGTCCCATGTGAGCACAGGGTCCTAAGCACTTAGACCATCTTCCACTGCTTTCCCAGACACATCAGCAGGGAGCAGAATCAGAAGCAGAGTGGCCAGGGCTTGAACTGGCACCCATATGGGATGTTGGCATTACAGGCGGCAGCTTTACCCACTGTGCCACAATTTCACCCCCTTCTGTGCATCTTGAGTTGGAGTACAGAAGTAGAAAATTCAGCTTTTCAACAGAATTCCACTGCCCATTGTTTGATTCTGAAAACCCATTCAAATCTCCTATTATATTTGTGGACAGGGAAATTTATTTGAGAGAGCACCAGAGAGGTTGGTGTTCTGCCCAGTCACACAATTATGCCATGGTAGAGCCAGGACCCAAACTCTAATGGCAGTATACTTTGCTATAAGGTTTTTGGAGCACCAATAGGACAAACTAATGGGAGATGCTCTTTTTGCTTAGAGAATTGTCTCTGGCTACTTATTTTGTTTGTTATTTGTTTATTTGAGGGGAAAGGAGAGAGGGAGAGGAGAAAGGACAGAAAAGAGAAATATGTAGAGAGAGTTCCCATTCACTTGTTCACTCTCCAAAAGCCCACAACAGCCCCCTAAAGTTGAGAGCTGGGAACTCAATCCAGGTATCCCATATGGGTGGCAAAAGTCAACTACCTGAACTGTTACTGCTGCCTCCCAAGGTCTGCATTAGCTGAGGCTCGAATCTAGATGCTCTAATGTGGGATAAGGCATCCTTTTTTTTTTTTTTTTTGACAGGCAGAGTGGACAGTGAGAGAGAGAGACAGAGAGAAAGGTCTTCCTTTGCCGTTGGTTCACCCTCCAATGGTCACCACGGCTGGCGCACCGTGTTGATCCAAAGGCAGGAGCCAGGTGCTTCTCCTGGTCTCCCATGGGGTGCAGGGCCCAAGCACTTGGGCCATCCTCCACTGCACTCCCAGGCCACAGCAGAGAGCTGGCCTGGAAGAGGGGCAACCGGGACAGAATCCGGTGCCCCGACCGGGACCAGAACCCGGTGTGCTGGCGCTGCAAGGCAGAGGATTAGCCTATTGAGCCATGGTGCCGGCCGGGATAAGGCATCTTAACCAGTGTCTTAATTGCTAGACCAAACATCTACCCAACTACTTCTTAAAAAAAAAAAAAAAAAAAAGAGGTGGGGAGTGAACCAGTGGATGGAAGATCTCTTTCTGTGTCACTCTGCCTTTCAAGTAGATTAAAAAAAAAAAAAAAACTTTTTAAGAAAGGCAATCTACAGAGCAAAAGTTGGACAAGTTTGGTGGTGAGATCTGTAATTCAAATAAAATAAGTGTGTTTGCTAATCATTTTCTTTTTATTTTTTCAGGTCTGAGGATACCTCATTTCAATTAGAGTATTTCAGGATTTCTTTCTTTTAAATGTTGATATATTTGTATACATCAACCTAAAATGATTGGCATCATCTTCTTTATAATCCTACTTATAAATACGGTTTCCATGTTTTCTGTACTTCTGGGAAAAAATCGAAGGCTAACATTTGTGTCTTAGATATCTCAAAAGTAATTAATAACACCCATGAGTCGTACACTTTGGAAATTTATATTCATTAAATAAAAGATAAAAAAATAAAATAAAATAAAATAAATAAATAAATCTTTAAAAAATGAAAAAAAAAGTAATTAATAACATATCAGTAAAAATCTTTATTGAAAACCTCATGCATAAAAGCTATTCTTAGGGGTGGGAATCCATAGTTTGGGATGCCTATATCTCTCATTGGCGCAGCACCGATCAAGTCCTGACTGTTCCACGCTTCTGACCCAGTTTTCTGTTAATGCACCCGGAAGACAGCAGATGGTGGCCTGAGTACTTCAGTTTCTCCAACACATGTAGGAGATCTGGATAATATTCCTGGATTCATCCTGGCTTACACCTGGCTGTTGCAGTTGTTTGAGGAGTGAACCAACAGATGGAAAATATATTTTTCTGTCTTACTTTCACTCTCTGACAGTCTGCCTTTCAAATAAATAAATAAATCTTTAAAAAATAAAACTATTCTGATTCTTTGGAAAGCCACAAGAAGGGCTGAAAGGAAAAAAAAAAATTAATATAATTAAAAATACCAGGAAGTCATATATCAAGCACTTACTATGCAGTAAGTATACTATACATCTCCTCTCATAAGTTAGATAGAATTATTCATTCTTTGGTCTTCCACAAGACAGATGAAATCCAAGAAATGGAAGAGATACTTGTTGTCTCTTGGTAAAGCACTCAGGTCTGACCAACACCCACAATGATATGCAGCCTTCCCCTCCCCCAGGAACCACTTCCTCTTTTTTACTGGTTTCGCATAGAAAAAAAATAAAAAGGATTTTTGCTGCCTCACAATGGCAGAATGTTATTTGCAGTGGTCTTCTAGGTATCCTTTGCTGTCTGCAAGTGCGTGTGCCATCTTCATCATCTGAAGAATCAGTATCTTAGGTCTAACTCATGCTGAAGCAGGCTCTGAGTCAAGGATCAATTGCTAGCAGCTTATTAAGAAAAGGCTTCCAGGACCAAACAGTAAGAGGGTAGAGGATAAAGGAGAGGGAGTGGAGAGAAGCCAAGTGAGAGTATAATTGCAGAAGTCCCACACTTAGTTCTGCTCCCATGGGGAGCTCGAGAACACACAACACATCTCAAAGTTTGTCCTGCTTCAAAGCACAGGGGCTGGGCTTTGGTAATCCACATCCCCCTGTCTTTGGGTATGGAGGGATGTGGGATGGGGTGGAAGAGAAAACTCCTGGATACCTCTAGTGCTCCCCAGTGTCTGAGAGTAATCTGCAGGTGCTAGCTGTTAGCAAAGTATGCAAGAGCTGGGGGTGGGGTGGGGTGGGGTGGGTGGGAACTGGCTCCTAAAGCCAAATCTGGGTGGGGCTTTAAGTTGCCATTGTGAGTTTCTGTTAGCTTTCTCTGCTGGGCCCCAACATATGCAGTCCCAAACTCTGTGCAAATTAAAATCTAAGGCATTAGACCATTAAGGGGCGAATGTCACCGGACTCACCTGAGTTTGAATCCTAATTTCACAAAAGAGATTGCAACAGTTAATGTCACTGACTTGATCCTTTGTCACCATATCCACAATGAGCTAATTATGAAATTTACTCATTTAGTCATTCATTTGTTCAGCAAATATGGAGTATACATTCTGCACTAGGCACTGTTCAGAGCTGTCCTGAGAGAAGGGGATGGTGATGAGAAGGGCTCTGTAAGAGGTAAAGCTCAAAGGCAACCACTTCTATGTCCAGGAGTTTACTTTCATAGCCTGTTAGAACAAATCAGCTGAAATTCAGCAAAGAAATACAGGGGAAAACTTGGCACTGCACTGATGAAAAAGGATCCATGGAAGAATCCTTTCCCTGAAGGGTTTCAGGTAGCATGATCCACACTCATCCTGCACAGTGAGTTCCTCCAAGGGTAGGCCTGTAGACAGAGCTCTCTTCTGACAGAGAATGACCTTCTTACTGAGGGATTTTACAAAGTCTCATTGTATTCTCAGGAAAACGTTGAGTCCTTCCTCCGTCAAAAGTCATCCTCTTTCATCTCTTTTAATCTTTTCCTGCCTCAATTTTCTTAACTGTAAAACGAAGGGTTCTTGGCTACTGACTGGTGTTGTCACAATAAGAAAGTCACTTGTGTACAAGAAGCTTACCTACTACATTTCTGGGATAGGAACTAAGTACCCATGCTTAGGCATGGCAGATAAGGTGGGCACAGTCTCCAGGACCCCAGTGTAGACTAGAGGTTTCAACTCCATTCAAATGCAATATCTCCCCTCTCCCATTTTTTGACACGGCTTTTTAATGATAATTATTTTGGGGTGTCTCTTTTACTAATACGGTTATGAAAGTCAAGAAACACAGTATATGAAGGCTCTGGACTGGCTATACAGGCTGGTATAAAGAAGTGCCAGGTTTGGCAACTGGCCTGGGATCTCTGTGAACTGGTGGCACTGAAGACTAACAGGTATACTGTATTGATGCTGTAGGGGCAGAAAAGGGGTATCCATTTCCTGCCCGTTATAAATTCATGACTGACACCCAGATAACAAAAGATAGGCACCATGAGAAAAGCATAACAAATTTACTAACATGTAAATGTGCATGGAGCCACATAAGAGTTTCAAATAAAAATATAAAAGCCCAGCTCAGCACTGGGTTAAGCTGCCACTTGGGATGCCTGCATCCCATACTGGAGTGCCAGTTTGAGTCTTGGCTACTTTGTGCTTCCAATCCAGCTCCCTCCTCGTGAGCTTGGGAAGCAGCAGCAGATGATGGCTCAAGTACTTGAGTTCTTGCCACCCATCTGGGAGACCTGATGGAGTTCCTGGCTTCGGGCTTCAGCCTGGTCCAGTCCTGGCTGTTACAGCTATTTGGAGAGTGATTAAGCAGATGGAAGATATCTGTCACTCTTATCTTTCAAATAATAAATAAATCTTTAAAAAAAGAAAACTCAAAGGCCAGAAAGTTGAGGATCAAATGCCTTTTTCAAAGGGGAGAGGAAAGTAGGGGTGGGGGTGGCACTGTAGGGAATTTAAAGGAATAGTGAAGGGTTTTTACAGGAGTGGATGGGCCTAGAACAACAGACAATGGCCTGCAACATAGTTCCTCAACTGAGTGTGGTATTTGATTTTCAGTCTCTTCTCTGTGATATGAGTTTTTTTTTTTTTTTTGACAGGCAGAGTGGACAGTGAGAGAGAGAGAGACAGAGAGAAAGGTCTTCCTTTTGCCGTTGGTTCACCCTCCAATGGCCGCCGCCGCCAGCGCGCTGCAGCCGGCACACCGCGCTGATCCGATGGCAGGAGCCAGGTGCTTCTCCTGGTCTCCCATGGGGTGCAGGGCCTAAGCATTGGGCCATCCTCCACTGCACTCCCTGACCACAGCAGAGAGCTGGCCTGGAAGAGGGGCAACCAGGACAGAATCCGGTGCCCCAAGCGGGACTAGAACCCGGTGTGCCGGCGCCGCAAGGCGGAGGATTAGCCTAGTGAGCCACGGTGCCGGCCTGTGATATGAGTTTAATCTTCACTGGTTAATGAAATTTGAATAAGAAGAGTGAAAACAACTGGGTTCCTCTTTGGTGGATCCCCTCTTCAGGTAAATAGGGGAACTTTAGGGAAAGTCCCTCTCTGGGCTTCGGGAAAGAAAAAGGATAGGAGGCAGTGGTCCTAGGGCTGGGGCAGGCTTTGCGAGATCTTGAGGCTGCTTTAGTTCAGCATGTCAAGGCACCATAGCTGGGTATTGTTTTCTGAATCCCAACAGTAGCTTGGATTCAGAAATGGTATTGCTGGCTCTGGTATGATTCTTCTGAAAAAGGGCTTTAAAATTATGCAAAAAATCACTAAAAAGCACTAGGCTTGGGGGAAAATGATATGGGATCTTAATCACATAAGACCCTAACATATTGGTTAATCCTTGCTGATTAGCTTATGCTGTTTAGACAGTGAGCAACTCAAGTAAAGCACATGTCCCCACTTCCTGCTATTTCTCCCGAAATGTACAGCAAGAAATAAGCAACAGCCAACCAGCAGCTTGTGCCATAATGAGCAATTTGCATTAACCCTCTCCCCTGTATATAGACAGTCAAGCTGCTCTGCTGTCATCTGGAACACCTATTCTAGGAAAGCAGATTACCTGTTTCTGGGTGGCCCTCTAATAATTGGCTCTAATAAACTCCTTTATTTTCACATTCAGTGTGCCTCAACTTGCTTTCTGTGTTGAGACTTCAGAATGGCCAAAATTCTAGGTAAAATTCCAAAAATAAACCAAAAAAACAAAGTACATCTTCCTTTGAGTTGCCTGGTGTTCACATTCCTGGAAAATTCAGTGTATGTAAGCCTGGCATAGATGGTCAATAAATATTCAAGAAATAAAAAAAAAAAAAAAAAAACAGAAAAAATAAGACAACTGGAAAATAAAACACATTTTGACATGTGATTGTAAGCTCATATAATCAGCAGATTTTTCATATGTTGAGATTAGAGAGATAGAGAGGGGCCAGAGCTGTGGTGTAGTGGGTAAGGCTGCCGCCTGTAGTGCCGGCATCCCATATGGGCACCGGTTCGAGTCCTGGCTGCTCCATTTCCGATCCTGCTCTCTGCTGTGGCCTAGGAAAACAGTAGAAGATGGCCCAAGTCCTTGGGCCCCTGTACCAGCATGGGATACCTGGAAGAAGCTCCTGGCTCCTGGCTTTGGATCTCCAGCCCTTGCGGCCAACTGGGGAATGAACCAGTGGATGGAAGACCTCTGCCCCTCTCCCTCCCCCTCCCCTCTCTCTGCCTCTCCTTCTCTCTGTGTAACTCTTTCAAATAAATAAATAAATAAACAAATAAAATAAATTTAGAGAGAGAGAGAGAAACAAGGTGGGACCCTTGTGACTCAGTCCCTAAGTACTTCAAGTGACTTCATCCTTGGAACAACCCAAACTAGTCCTATTAACTTCTAAAATGCACCAATAGGGAGCCTTGTTGCCTTTCTGAGAATCACGTGTGCACAGTGGACAGCTGCTCACGTAATCACTGGCGGGCGTGGAGGAGGAAGCAACCCTGCCCTTCCTTTTCTCGGAAATCACCAGGCTTTGGAGAAAGGGAACTACAGTCGGGACTGTCCCCTTCTCTAATCTGAACCAGTGTTTTTTGCCCAGAGACTGGTGATGAGTCACTCTGAGCTCGGGTTCGGATTGGGCAGTTGGGAAACTGTAAAAGTAGATTAAAAGTGGGGGGAAACCCTGTATTTTTCATCATCCAGTTGTGGGAGTTTGCAACGCACTGCCCCACTGGGTTATCTTCGCTTAGCTGGCTGTGCACCACTGCCAGCCTGTGTGCATTCGTCATGAGTACACCCTCCTGCGTCGCCCAGCCTGGGGCTCACAACAGCCCCCCACTCTATACCCCCCGCCCCGCTCCACTTTGCGGCACAGGGTAGCCAGCCACTCACGTTCAGCTCCCACAGTCTGCTGTGCTGGAACGGAAAGCAGCCTAGGGCTGGCCAAGAGGCGGGAGGCTGGAGCGCCGG